AGACCTTCAGTAGTGTGAAGCCTCGTAAGACTACCAACCAAATACTCCAATTTTATTTTTCTTAATTATCGGCAAAAATGTATATTCAGATGTACTTTAATTGTGAAAATTTAAAATCCTCTCCAGACCAGCTCTGTATATCTAGTTTCATAATCTACGAAACATAGAGGGTCGGCTTTACGTGATAGGATCATTAAGCTTGCGGTGTGTGGTACAGTAAAGGTTCTGGTAACACAGTCTGTATCTGTGGCACGGGATCCACCCAGGTTCAGTCTGAAGATTGCAGGGTAGCAGAATTTCCAAGGGAAAAAAGGGGAAAAATTGGGAATTTTGAAAATATCAGAATGAAGGAATATGGATGAAGGTGTTACGAAAGATGCCTAATCTTCGCCTTGAACATATGGAAACTGATTTTGGGAATTACAAACCATCGTGCACAGCTACTAGCCGTGTGATAACATCACTACTAAATGAACTATCCTTGTGATTACAGTATTACTTAGTGAACTATCCTTGTGATTACAGTTGATTACAGTATTACTTAGTGAACAACACGTGTGATTACATCATTACTTAGTGAACTATCCTTTTGATTACAGTATTACTTAGTGAACTATATTTGTGATTACAGTATTACTTAGTGAACTACGCGAGTGATAACAGTATTACTTAATGAACTACCCGAGTGATAACAGTATTACTTAATAAACTATTCGTGTGTAACATTAGACATTATAGTGAGATTGAAGTAAGTTAACTTCATTATAATCACAATAGGATTATAATGATTGTAGACCACATACATTGGTTTAAACTATCTTCCTGACGTCTATTTGTTTCCTTTAGTGATAATTTAGTATTCCTGCAGACTATTTAAATGTCCTTCATTCATTGACGGTGGTCGGCACTTAGGCAGACCTAATTAGTAGCCTGACGTATTCTAATGATTACACCGATCCAGACCAAGGTACTTTCGACATTGTCTTTGAGAGACAATGGTCTGCGTGGGTGCAGATTTGCGGATGATTACCGACAAACTTACTGAATGACCTCTTAAGAAAATTGCAATGTAATAACATTATGTGATGTAGTGTCATTAATTAATGGGCCGCTTTTCTTCTTTTCTCTCTACCCTCACCATTCCTCGTAACACTTATTACATCTTAAAGTAGTAAATAGATCAGCGTAGCTTTCACGTATTTAAGCATACGCTTCTTTAGCTAGTCTCAATGAATTTTATATTGCTCATATTTTGTTATCCTCGAAGGTCGATTTCATGAGTAATTCAGTTTTTTAGTTAACACCTGACAATGAATTAATTATCGTAACCGGTTAAGCTGACTTGAAACCAATTTTAGCTTCAATGACATTCACCATTGACACTGCCTCTCAGAAAGTGTCATAGACAAATAGGATTCCAACATAAGCAAAACCAAACCAGTTCAACTCTTTTGTGAGTTCTGTCAAGACTTTGGAAGTTCTCCGCAGACACAGATCAATCAATGGGCCCAAGCAATGAAATAGACACGAGATGGATACGCTGACGTGACAGACATTGACACCGCCTGTAGATTTCCCTGTAGTTATTCGCGTGTACATTTCTCTGCATTCTTAACAGATTCGCAGGTAGCTTTTTACTGCAATTTTTCTGCTAATATATGGCGTGACCCGAGAGGCCTTTCGGTGTACAGATGAATCTTAGACACGCACACACGACTATTCAACTGTACGGCGATTTACGTGAAATAATACACATATTGGTATCTTCCTTTGCAATTGAGTTATCTCTTTTGCCGCGTTAAGAATGAAAAATCTAAAATCGTCGGGTAAAATATTTATGACAATTATCTTAACCTTGTTTTAGGTTCGTGCCACTTTAAAGTATGTTATGTCCCTTTCATATTGAATTACAACAAATTTCAAAATTCGGGTGTTATCTTAGAACCTCATCTACCCTGTTTTTTTGAAAGAGATTATCTCTGAGAATGTTTGCGGTATTTTACACACACAAAAATCTTCGCTACAAAACAATTTTCTACTATGTTCTTGATGACCCAATGTATTCCCGGTTATTTCTGTTTTGTAAGGATTTTATTACGAGAACAGCCTTACTAAAATGTATAGTGTGTTATAGCAAGCCTATTTGATGGAATGAAAATTGAACATATTTCATTTGTTTCTTTTCTTCGTATTTTATTTTGTTTATCAAATAGATCTAGGAGTACTTCATTGTGTCAAGCTCGAAAAAAAATGCATCAGTTAATGGGCTATTGTCATACCGTGTGGAATGGCAAGTGAATTACATTGAAACACGTGCTCTGGCTGATTTTTTTTTTAAGGGATTTTCAATTTTCAGCGCTTTCACTGTATATGCTATTAGTGATGACGTTATTTGTCAACGAAACAAACGCTGGTTTCAATATCAGTGTACAGTGTGTCTGTTTACACATAAATTAAATTTAAAAAATGCAGATAGATTAACGTAACCTTGTCAGTCGTCATTATAAAACAAATGGATACAATGTGTCCGAAAGTCCTTAGTGTAAACAGGTTTCGCTAAAAAGGGAGTTGTCTCCCTTCTTATTGCGCCCTTGACATATTTAAATCTCGCTTATTTCAATAAGGTTTGCCGTTTTGGATTTGATCTCGTTCCCCACGAGATTCTTTTCTTGCTATACTTACCTTGCCTTCCACTTAAACAGGCTCCTGATTTAGTACATGCATCGTGCTAACGACCTATGCTGTACAATGGCCGACTGTGTCGAAAACACACAAACAATTGATGACAATAGGCCGCGATATAAGACGCATCCTTGCCTAACTGAAGTAAATCAAAACCTTATCTGCGGTATCGGCACAGGTAACGGACATCAAAGCCAGACAAATAACAGGTGTTGGATGGCTTGTCCCTATCTGTAGGAAATTCGATACTGGTGATTAATTGAAAAAAAATATCGCCATTTACAAGTTTAAGTTATGGTGAAGGATATATAGTTTCTGATTGCTAAAACGCGCCCAATTAGTGTTCAATCTATATATAACAAATTCGGCAAAGTGTCTAGGTTGTAAACAAATCATATGATCATGTTTTGTAGTTAGGTCATTTTGTCACTCATTCTCAGTAAACACGTCATATGGCCACGTGCTGTAGCTGTGTCATTCTGTCACTCATTCTCAAAAAAAATCCTCTGATCATGTTTTGTAGTTAAGTGATTTTGTCACTCATTCACACTAAATAATTTCTATGATCTCGGGCTGTACATGTCGTTAGGTCATTTTGTCACTTATTCAAACTAAATAATTTCTATGATCTCGTGCTGTAGATAGGTCATTTTGTCACTCATTCTTGGCCAAGCACAACTCAGCTTCAGACTTAAGGGGCATTATTTTTGGACTGAGAAACATTCTCATTGCTTGCATCCATATCATACATATTTTGATATCTTAACGAGTGTTCATATACGTGTATAAACCATGTAACAATAAAAGATGGTTTTTGTTAGGTTTATTGATCCTGTATTGAACTTTTTTCCTATCTATCTGGTCATTTTTCCGTTAATTCTTTAAGAAATCGATTTGAAATCGTAACATTTTTTAATATTTTGATTTCGCTGCTTATTTTATGAATGGGACGCAAAATAAAGCTGCGTACTACTGTCTGTCAGAAACTATTGTCAAATGTATCGTCAGAAGTATAGTAATTGCCTCACACGAACAAAATATTACAGCATATTCCTGAAACGAATGCCAAGCATTTCAATGTAATAGTTAAAACTGATGCATCATATCATTATATTTATTGAACGGCAATTGTCTTGTTCAAAACATAGAAATGCGAACAAGTATTTCTGGCATCCCCTTCACACTGCCGCTAGGGTGTAGTAATGGCAGAATGATTGAGCCGTGGGCTGTAACGCCGTATTGTGGTGGGCGAAACATGTGTTCCCTTTAACAAAGTTACTAGTCTCCTGGGCAAGCCTATAATCAAAGTCCCGCCGTTAACATGTTCAACTTAGCAATTGCAGAGTATGTCGTGGATGTAAACAAATACGATACATTCCCACAGCCTGCCTTTCATATCATTGATCAGCGAGGCCATAACTTTGTTAAATTCCCATAAAATCATCTTATAATTTTCTAGCTAGTTTAAACAGTTCCATTCAATGCCCTGAAGACTTTTATTCGAATGCTCCTTTTTCTAAATTGCCTGACATGTACCACTGCCGTGGTTAGCTAGTTACACAACCAGACATCCTAGAATCGTTGATGATTTATAAACATGAAAAAGAGCATTCACATGGAATGGCTTCCCATGGGTAGACAATAACACGTCTTGCCATACCGTCTGGGGGGAATAGAAATACATGTTTGTAAGTCTGAGTCACATTACACGTATAAATCATATTTGAAGAAGCTTCATTCATAAAATAAATGTATTTCTCTTATCAATAAGTTCTAAAATGAAGACCACCACACTTCTTCTTTTCTGGATAACCAAATGGTTTATATGATATTCCTCCGAACTAGTAGTATGGTTGTGCTGTATGAAACGTTCTGTATTCACTTTTTATGGTTCCCAAATTATTGCCTTGTTTCAAACTGCAATAGATAAATTATGAGCAAAAACTTTTACAAATCATGTTAAAGCGGAAAATAGGTACCCTAAATCCCATACAGTCTAGATAATTGACTATTCTTTCTTGAAACCTTTTCGAACATACAATGTACATTTATTATTCCCGGATAATAATGACCCTCTCGATACTTATAAAAACTGTTGTTTCGATCAAGGCAAATATATGTGTACAGTAAATAAAATTACGTAATATTTATTTCAGTTTGTTCATCCAAGAGTGTATTTTTGGTATTTGTTTTTTCAATATGGTATTGAACAAGGAAATGTATGTTTAACTAAATCTTGCTTTTCATGTTAAATTAACATTAACTAACGACCACTTTTTCATAAGCAAAATAACTAACCATGCTTTCGTCTTTTCCAGGCTGTCAAGGAGCACATGGGGACGGAGTGCAAGTGTCACGGTGTTTCGGGAGCTTGTTCTTTGAAAACGTGCTGGACAACTTTGCCATCTTTTCGGAGAATAGGTGAACATTTATACAAAAAGTATAACAAATCTAAAATGGTGGTACCTTATTACGCCACTAGGAACCGCATACCCACCTTTTTGACTTTGAAAAGATCTAAGCGTGCCCATGCAAAACCGCGCCGCTCTGATCTGGTATATCTTAAGAAATCCCCAAATTACTGTGATTTTAACTCGTCCACTGGTTCCTTGGGAACAGTAGGCCGGAAGTGTAACAGAACATCTTCCGGTACGGATGGCTGTGATTTGATGTGTTGTGGGCGTGGCTACAATACACACCAATACACAAAGACTGACCAGTGTCACTGTAAGTTTCACTGGTGCTGTTACGTCCAGTGTCGTGAGTGTAGTGAGCGGACGGAAGAATATGCTTGTAAATGAGCATACTCACACGCATGAGCAATGCTAGTACGTTGTTAACCACGACACAAGAAAAGGTGCACGTGCGCTTTCCTGGATCTGGATTGCTGCTAAGTAAAGTGCTTTTATTTACACTTTGTGATACGCTGGACGTGACCACCATGACGTCACCAAGACGTTACCGTGATATTTCACCTTGTGGTTTGTGAAAACAAAGCTGACTTACGTGCTGAAAACGAAGTCATCGACGTTTATTGGATCCCCTATGTTATGGGCATTCGGTGCGTTCGTGCGGTAGAATAACAAGGTCGTTGCCTTCTGCTCGACCGGAGGTTTTCTCTGCGACATCGAAGTACTGCGCACGTGCGGGTGAGTCCGGACTATAAAAGAGGTTACCCGGTTTTACAAACAAACTTGTCATAAATAGACGATGGTGTTTTAACAAAACAAAACTCACATATGACCAAGGATTTAAAACCAAAATGTTTTAATGACGCAAAATAACGTTCATCTACAATGACACCATCATCATCATGATGACTTTCTATTTATTTTAACGTATTTGTACCCCCGTGTACTGTAAGTAGGAGACAGATTATCAGACACGTGATAAACACGTGTCACGCGTGCTACTTCCAACTGTCTCGCATTCATGAACAAATATGACATGAACAATGGTTCGGACATTATACTGGATATAATTATTTTGAATAATATACATGTAGTTGTTGTTGTTGTTGTTGTTGTTATATGAAGAAAAAAGCCAGTGACTGATGACATAAAATCATTATTTATATTACACCATTGAAATGTTGTTTAAGTGAAATACTTGTATTGTTCCGTCATGTTCATACAGCCGTTAATGTATAGTGTATATTTAGACGTGTAAGCGTAGACTTGATCATACGGACGGACGGGTGTACACGACAAGAGCTTACACGAAGATTCGAAGGGTCTTTATCTGCAATTTAAAAAGGTTAAAGCTGAGAGTTTTTTTATACCTGTTTTGTCGCCTCTCTGTATCCCACTCCATCTCGGTTGTATCCCCCCAACATCCCCACTCGGCTGTATTATCCCTACCCCACATCCCCACTCGGCTGTATTATCCCTACCCCACATCCCCACTCGGCTGTATCATTTCCTACCCCACATCCCCACTCGGCTGTATCCCTCCCTACCCCACATCCCCACTCGGCTGTATCATTTCCCACCCCACATCCCCACACGGCTGTATCCCTATATCCCCGCTCCTCTCTCGACCCTCTCATACAAACTGTATATCAGCTATACATGTAACTTCACGTGAAGCAGTCATAATCATTCTCTGTAACTTAGATCTCTTAGGTAGATAAAGACATTTGGTTTAGGGGTTAGCGAACTAAGATAATATTAAATATTGATATTAAAATTTGCTTCCTACTGTTGTTCTCATATCTACCTATATAGATACAGCTTTTTTAAAAACTAGCATACAAATAGTGATATACACTGTAATACGAAAGGTGTCAAGTCTCATTTCAAAATATGTTATTAAATCAATTAGATTTAATGGGAATTGGGTAATATTTCAAGTGTACTACGAAGGTGTAAAAGTACAAGTGTGATACTATATGTGTAATAATACAAGTGTGATACTACATGTGTAATAATACAAGTGTGATACTACATGTGTAATAATACAAGTGTGATACTACATGTGTAATAATACAAGTGTGATACTACATGTGTAATAATACAAGTGTGATACTACATGTGTAATAATACAAGTGTGATACTACATGTGTAATAATACAAGTGTGATACTACATGTGTAATAATACAAGTGTGATACTACATGTGTAATAATACAAGTGTGATACTACATGTGCAATAATACAAGTGGTACAATACTACAATTTAAATGCTACATGCTTGTAGTACAGTTGAAATAATACAGATACTACTGATGTAACTTTTAAGGTGTAATAAAACATGTGTAAAACTACAAGTGTAATACTACAGATGTAATACTACAAGTGTATACTACAAGTGTAATACTACAGGTGTAATACTACAATTGTAATACTACAAGTGTAATACGACAAGTGTAATACTACAGGTGTAATACTTCCAGCATGACACTTTTCAGAGACAAACTACAGGTGTAATACTACAGGTGTAATACGACAAGTGTAATACTACGGGTGTAATGCTACAAGTGTAATACTACAGGTGTAATACTACAAGTGTAATACTACACGTGTAATACTACACGTGTAATACTACAAGTGTAATACTACAAGTGTAATACGGTAAGTGTAATACGACAAGTGTAATACGACAGGTGTAATACTTCAAGCATGACACTTTTCAGAGACAAACTAGTGTAGTGTTTACTTCTGTTCGTACATCTTCCTAAATATATAACGACAGCTTCCTTATTAGGCCTGTCAATTATAGATGACATCCTATGGGCGTTCACTTGTTTAGGCTTTTCTCTTCCGTTATATATATTCTACAAAACGGTCTTTCTCCATCTTTAAAAACTGTGTGTCAACAAACCTAGCACATCAAGATCAGATATATTGGGAACAGATCTAGATGGGACACAAGATTATTTAATATAAATTGGAAAAATGTGTTTGTCATTTTTATTCAACTTCAGACAGATCATCAGTGCAACCTAGTACATATTATCATGTTCTAAAATAGAAACATTTGTGACCCCTCTATCCTCAGACCCTCATTGTGCCCCTCTCCCTTATTCCACCCTCACCGCCCGATGTTTCCCCTCCCCCTATACCACCCTCACCACTCCGTACATTAACTCAATTGTGTATTTGCAGAAGTACTTATAAAGAGAAATATGCACGTAGTTTAAAACAAACTGTTGATCCATAAAATAAACGCAATTTTAAAAGACTGTTTCGTTCTTTCAGTTCTATATATAAATTATTGTATCATCGCATATTCCTTAAAAATTGTTCTATGTTTCAAAATTAAAGAAATATCAAATTTAACGCTGTGTCCTATGTCGTGCTTTTTTCTGTTTATTCCTTTTGAAATATAGGAAAACTAGCAAACCCGGCTAAATCGAGTAAATGGAGTGTTGAATATCTTAACAATCATGAAACAAGTACATGAATATCAACTTGAATCATTTGTGTTATCCTGCATTGTAGGACGCATGGAGTTTGTTAGTGTATTACGTAGCACGCAGGAAGTCATTAAGTTGTCGTGCAGTGATCGGATTGTTGTGGTTTTGGATTTTCAACAGCTCATTTTCAGTGTAATACCTTTTGAATACTACTGCGCAGAAAACCGTTATAATCAGCCGAAGCCCATAAGTATACTCCACTCTAGGCGGGAGTTGAGAAGCACCTTGATACTTCAATTACCACAGTGTATCCACCAAACTGACAGTATAAAACACATGTTAGCTGCAAGCCGACTTTTAAAACTCAACTCAAACAAGAGATTAATGAACTGTTAGAAAGGTTGCACACATCACATATGTATAACGTCATGACGACCTTTTTATCAGGTGACAACGTTTAAAGGATCCATCTAGCTTACTAAGTATATGTTACCGTTTACTATCCATGTAAAATTCGATGTACAGATTTCTTTTTTATTAACATGACGCACACGGACGCTAATATAATTCGTTTCCCCCTTTTGGAGTGAGACGGGAAAGTCTAAACCCCCGTCGAGAACTCAACATTTTAGATTCTTACTCCGAGGGTTTCATTCCAAACCAAGGGTATTGCTTTTCGTCTCAAAATCTTTGATTACATGAAATGCAAGCGTTGAATTAGTGAGCTGTCTTTATTCAAGTAGGCGAAACAGATTTCACTTTTCTCACACCGGAACAGAAATGCATCTATGAAGTATGGTGGGAATAAGATTTTCCGTTTTAAATCAAGGAAAATGTCAATAATGTACCAGCGTGGGAATACATGAGGTTGTTTTTATATATTTCAGCGTTTATCCAATAATTTCGCAGGAATTATTTTTTCTAATGATCTGTTTTATCCCACAACACATATTGTCAAGTATCATTATAAATGAGTTATTTTTTCATTTCGACCAACACTACGCATACGTTTTGTGTTTTATCTATTTAAGAGACTTGGAGCAAAACTAAGATGCGTAAACACAAAAGATAATAAAAGGTTCTTATTTTCATAGTGAAAAGATTTTTTGTTTCTTTTTTTTTGTTTACAGTTGAAAATCGATAAACTGGATGTTGAATGTTTTTCTTTCGGAGACTCCATGTTGTAGACAGATAAATCTGCTTTGCTTTTTAACTAACTGCGGGAGACCATTTACAAACAAACAAACACATAATAAATGGTTTATGAATCGTTATATTTCACAAAGAATATGATAGTATAATCACAGCGTTGTTATATTGCTTTTGTTAATGCCGTAATTACTCAAGTTTTAGAAATCTACGAATGAGGTGGGAAAAACCCCGAAACGAAATTTCGATGTTAAAAGTTGATAGCAATATTTTAAAATATGTTAGTTAAAATAATGTTATTTTTTTTAGATTAACGATGTCGCTGATTAGTCTGACAAAGCTAAGCTGTGTACGGAATAGATAAATGAGAAACATTACATGTGAAAAAACAAGAGTTTAAATTGCAACAACAAAGATATGAGCGCCACTTTGTCTCCGTGTAGCTGACGGAACCAACAGTGTCTGGCCGCCATTGACCACACGGAGAGGACTCAACGGATACAGTCACCGTTCTCTTTTGTATTGAACAATGACTGAAGCTAGATTAGGGAGAAAACGGGCGAGAAGTGTAAATAAACAATGTTAAAGACAATGGCGAGTGGCTTATCTGGGTGTCTCCTCTCAAAGTGATCCTGACGACGTAAAGCAAACAGCCTTGTCTGTCTAATAACAAAGAAACAGGGATCAAATTAACTGTGGAAGCTCGAGTTTTCTGTTTGCGAGCGGTAGGTTTAGTTGCGTTAGACGTGAGTTATGACCGTAATTTACTGTACATCCAATTCATCTATTCGCTTTTGTATTCTTCTGAGATCAAAGACAGTGGCAAATTATCCCTCTCATCTCCCTTTTGCAATCATGGCACTTGTCAATAAAGAAAACAGAGATATATCCTCACCTAATACCAAACTATATAGCGTATGTCGCAATTTAAGACAGGACCGATGTCAAGTGTTTAAACCAAGATCAGATGGAGTTACTAGTACATGTTGTAAGGTATCAGTACAAGTTTTGTCAAATTTTAAAGACCTAATATTCTGATTTAAACAAATTTGAATCTCCACGCTTGTCATCAAAGTATTGACACGTGTCGCAGTTCATATACTAATTTATAATACGTGCGTTATATTTTAATGTCTACACATTATCTTGTTTTTGACAGTCTCAGCCAATTTTGAACATATTTTAATCTACATCCCACCATTATAATGTATGAAATATAATGTAAATATCCCTAAATATTTCATTTTTAAGGATTTCTCGATGTTGGGCAGTGGCACTGGGCCACATGTATTTATAATCCTTTGACATGTGTTCCATATCATACTTTCTTGTTATACCCATCATATAATGATGTATCTGTGTTACTTATCAAATAAGTATGTCCCCCGAGTTATTGTAACTGATCATACGAAAGTCTACACGTGTAACTGAACATACCAGTATGTTTCAAATATAAACTGGTGAAGACAGCGATTGAAAGAAATCGAGCGTCTCGCACATTTATGAATAAACGATAACAGCGAAAGGGCAGGACCACAGAACTACACCATACGTCAAACGGACAAAGTGTAGGGACAAACGAAACCTTCACCGAACCAGACATAAACTTGTACTGAAACTGAATTATAGAAATACCTGATAGCATACAAGCATAGCCTGAAAAGAACGATTATGATTTTATCAATTATTAGAGAAAACATGTTCATTTCTGTTCATCATTTCAGTCAATTAAGTTTAACATCGTCAAAGCGGACATTAATGAAGCTGTTATTAATTCTAAACATTAAAGCGCTTAACAATGTCCAACACATCTTTTACTAGTGTTTAAACTATTGGAATTGATTTAGGCTTGCAAAACAACATTGTACACATTTGGCAAGTCAATTTATAATCATTGACAGCGTGTCTGACCTTTGCCCCGGAACCTATCCTGTTACTATCAACACGTAAACTTACGGTTCACTAACGGTTTCCTGTACTTCAAACAAGCATAAAAAATGCAAAAACAGAAGACAAAAAAATATACAAAAATGATAAAATACACCGTAACAGTACATGCACATGTACTTTTAGCTCGTTCTTCCCCGACAGCGCCAAAACATAAAAAAAATATCATAAGAATAGCTGACATTTTTGAAGTCTTTTGTATTATGATATTTGATATTAATTATCAAAAAATATTTTTGATTGATCCGGTTATGTGAATGAACTGTTACGTCGCTTTACCGATTC